TGATTAATCTCAAAAACATTATGCAAAGTAGCCAGACAAAAGGCTACACATTGTAAGATTTCATTTATATGACATTCTGGAAAGGCAAAATTTTAAGAACAAAACCACGGCTGGGGCTGCAATGGATTGAATACTGGTCTCTCCCCCAAATTCATATGTTGAAACTCTACCCTCCAATGTGTGATGGTGTTAGGAGGTGCGGCCTTTAGGAGGTAGTTAGCATTAGATGAGGTCATAAAGGTGGAACCCCCACAAACTGTATTTATTAGTGCTTTTATAAGAGCCACCACAGAGCTTGCTTCCCTTCTCTGCTCTCTTCCAAGAGAAGACGCAGTGAGGAGTCAGCAGTCTGCAATCCAGAAAAAGGCTCTCACCAGAACCCAATCAATGCTGGCCCCCTGATCTTAGACTTCGAGCCTCCAGACTGTGAGAAATAAATATCTGTTACTTATAAGTCACCCAGACTACAGTACTTTGTTACAGGAGCCCAAAATGACTGAGATAAGAACTTGCAAACTAATTCACTGAAATGAACACTTAAAAAGGGTAAGTTCCATTGTATATAAATTATAACTTAATTAGTCTGATATTTTAAGAAAGAAAGTTCCCTGGACGACTCCAATGTACTGTGTGGGCTGGAGCCCTTATCCTAGAACGATGCTTTTCAGACATTGGTAGCATCATAATCACCTGGAGTGTTTGCGAAAGTTTTTTTTCTCTCAAGTGTTTACTGACACCAAACAAGTCTCCAGTTCCCTGACACCAACTGAGTGTCCAACAATTTAATTTAATTCTGTTATTAGTTAGCGCAGACCCCACAAGTTAAAGGCTCAGTCCCACAAGACTACCCCCACTTCAGACACCAGCTGCAAACGGGGTTCTCAGACTATCCACATTTTTGCCCAACTGACCATAAATTTAGAGGTTTCCATGACCCCCCCGCCAGGGTTAATAATTCACTAGAATAACTCACAGAGCTCAGGAAAGTTCTTTACTTATTATTACTGGTTTATTTTAAAGGATACAGCTCAGAACAGCCAAATGCATGAGATGTATGGAGCAAGGTATGAGGGAGGGGAGCTCGTTGTTTCCGTGCTTCCTCCAGGTGCACCCTCCCAGCACCTCAATATGTTCAACAACCCAGAAGCTCTCCAAGCCCATTGCTTAGGAATTTTTTAAGGAGGTTCCATTGTGTAGGCATGATTGATTAAAAATCATTGGCCATCGACAATGGAACTGCAGCCCCTCTCCCCTCCATCAAGCTTCAGGGGTGGGGCTGAGAATGCCAACCTTCTAATCACATGGTTGGTCCGTTGCTCTGGAAACCAGCCCTGTTCTGAAGCTGTCCGGGGAGTATGTCAATAGTCACCTCAGGAGCATGAACTCAGGTATGGTTGAAAGGGGCTCATTGTGAATAACAAAAAACACTCCCATTAGGAAATTCCAAGGGTTTTTGGAGCTCTATGCCTGGAAACAGGGACAAAGACCAAATACATTTTTTTATTATACAACAGTTGGTTAAACACAGATTGCTGGGCCCTACCCTGAGTTTGTGAATCAGTAGGTCTGGGGAGGGGATTGAGAATATGTATTTTAACAAGTTTCCAGATGTTGTTGATGGTGCCCTTCAGAGAAACTTGCACGTGGAGAATGGCCTTCTTTTCTTGAGAGTCATAAGATGGTGTAGCCTATCTTTCGATTATCACCCTTCTGGCTCACGGACGTCATTTCTTTCCCAGTTATACCAAGTTTTCTGTAGACTAGCACCTTCATTCTGTTCAAAAGTAACACCAAACTTTACCTTAGAGCAAGGAAGCCCTGGGATATATAGCAATCCTTATATGACACCTCTCAGCAAGAGGGAAGAATTGTGGAAAGGAAGGCAATAGGAAAGACAACCACCAGGACAGACCCCACCCAGCTGGGCTGGCCATGTCCCGCTGAGGCAGGCTGACCCCTGCCATAGGTAGAAGGGGGAGTTCTGCTTTCCACGGAGAAGCAAAATCTTTTCTCCTTGGGCCTCTGATGGTCAGATGAATATGAATAAGGCAATTTGAGGCTTAGCCCACTCTGTTGGTGGTTCCTCACATTCTGCTATTAGGAGGTCCCTGGGTAGCCCTGCCTCAAAGCTCTGTAATTCCATTTCCCAAAATTGAACATCCTATTTTGGTTTTTCCTTCAATTCTATTGGATTTTAACTCATTTGTATATGTGTGTATGTATGTAGCCCTAAATTTCCTAACGTCTCCTTACTATTTTATTATTTTCCCTTTCTAGATCCAACCCACTCCGGCTGCCTATGATCACTTTTCCTCAGACACTCCATTAATTGACTCAATAAGTTATCCTGCACCTAACCATGGGTTAAGATCCCTGTTCTCAATCAGGCTGAATCAGGCCCCCAAATCTACTGTGACTTTTGAGGAATAGGGGTGCTTGTGTGGTAAGACGAGCGAGTTTAGAGGACCTCATTGGCCCTGGTTCATGCTCCTCCTCCACACCGGCCCACTGCCTTCATGCTGCCCTCTCAGTCGCCCAGTCCCGTGGGGATTGGACTACACTCAATGCATGTCCCCGCCCAGGGGGAGCCTGAGTGTTCTGGAGCTCCCACCTTTCCCCTGGCTTTGATTGGCCCTGAAAAGGACGGTGGGCCATGGGGCTGAGGTAAGAAATACATTTCGGGATAAAAAAAGAAAATGTAGGCAGCATGGTGCTACGATTAAGAGCACTTGCCTAAAAGTCAGGGGGCCTGGATTTGAATTTGGTTTTGTCTCTTATTATGTGGTTTGGCACAAGTGAATGTCTATTTGTCTTCATTTCGGCTTCTGTAAAATGCAGCTGATGACATCCGTCTCATGTGGAGTCAGCCCAGCGTAGCAGTTAGCAACATCTGGTGCCGGGCTATCTGCGTTCAAATTTTGGCTTGCCATTGAGTAGCTGCAAGGCCTTGAGCAAGTTACTATACATTTCTCATTTGAGGTTCCTGAGTATTTGTCTAGCTACGTTTCTCAAAGAAGAACAAAATCAAACTAAGGAATGAAGAGTTTCCTGATCCCTAAATACAGAAATCTGAAAAATGCTAGAATGCAGGATTTTAGTGACATTTTACAATCCATTTATGTGTGTGTGTTTGTAATAAGGAAATGTTGAATCATAGACAACGTAAAATGTAGTACAGGGTGGGGCAAAAGTACAGTTCTGAGTGTGCAAAACACAGAGTTTATTCTTGTTTTATTAATTATTATAGTATGTTTCATATGAGCAACTGTAAACCTACTTTTGCTGCACCCTGTTGTTATAGGTGCTTTTTACTTCCTCCTCCCAAAATTATTTAAATAAAAAATGGAAACTGAAAGAGAGAGCCACCAGATATAACTTGCAACCGGGGTGTGTTCCCAAAAGCAGTGGGAGAGGGAGGGGCCCAAACCCAGTAGAACTCAGTGCAGCAGCGGGAGAGCTGGGCTGGAACCAGGGGTGGAAGGGGATAGGAGTTTTAAAATCAGCCATTTCTATTTGTCAAGCCCAATGGAAAAAATTTTCAAATGAAGCTGAAGATTTTAAGAATCAATGAGACAGTGAAAGTGGATTTTAGTAGGAGGTTGGAAATATCTGGAGGAAATCATGTTGAGTATATCAAGGGAAAGAGGCTCTCATAGTCAAGCATTTTCCCACTGTGTTAATATCAGGAATAACTTCGCTCAGCCTTTGCCATATTATTTAGATCATCTATAAAAGGTAAGAGGCATGCAAAGGAATATAAACATGATGAAGTTCTACTTTTTATTATGATGATGCAAAGAATGTCTACATTTGAGGAAATACTCCATTAGGAATAAATTGCTTATAATTAAATAAAATGTTTGTTCAAGTTTATTGAGTAGCATTAGACTAATAAGAAACATTATAGAACTGGTTACCAGAGAACAATAACAACAAAGTCTGTGCAAGAGATGTGAGTAAAAAATTTGTCTAAGCAAACATATAAAAGACATTTAGAGTACATCTAAATATCACCCTTTAAATATATTTTCTGAATAGTCTATGAATTTAAGTCTGGGGATCTTTGAATGTTTTTAGCTTTTATATGTGACAATATTTCTTATAAGTAAACTCTTTAAAAGTAGAAAAAGGCCCCCATTCCTCTCCATAGTGAACTTTTGAATGGAAGATGTCTACTATGTGGACCCCTCTGCCTCTTGACAGGCTGAAGTTTCACAGGTTTTCCATGTGTTTTGGGGTTTGTTTGTTTGTTTGTTTGTTTGTTTTGTCTCTCATGGAAGCCTGCTTTTCTTTGGGTGTAAAATGATTGAAATGCACTCCATCATTTCCTTCTTAATTCAAGCCAGATATTCAGATTTGAGATTTAAATTCTCATTCCTTTATTTTCTAGGAAAATTTAGCATTCAACAATAGGTAAACTATCAACAGAAACTTACATGAAACTTTCCTTCCTGATGAATAAGAATGCAAACTCCAGGCGTATAAGGTACTTTATTTGAAAAAAGTTGTTCAAGTTTGCCCTACCAGCCTCCGAAGGGTGATTTTTACATGTGTTTTCATGCTTGCTTATATGAGGAGAAGCTCTCTTTTTTTTGGGGGGGGGGGAGGGTGGTGATTCCATAGAACATGAATCTGAGCCCAGCGCAGGAATGAGAAAGAATGCAGGTGTCCTTAGTGGGGATTTTGGCGTCAGAGCTTCTTTGTCATCTTAGTTATGTAAGCTTTCCGTGTACTATGAAACAAAAACATAAGCAAGAGAGTCATGTTCAGAAAAGACCAGAAACTGTGGCTTTTCCCCAGAGATACGAAGCAAGGAATATTGTGGATACTGGCTTCCCATTTAGTCTATCGATCTGCTAAACTGAGTCATCCCAACTCTACCAGGTAAGTAATAATAATGAACGACATCTGTCTTAGAAATTTCTCATAAATTTAAAATGGCACCCATTTTGACTAACCGGGAATGGGAAACCCTTCAGTACAAATTAGAAAATGAAAACCCTTTGTATGCCAGACTTACTCTCTTATTTTTTTCAGAAACATCTGTGTCTGTGGGAGTTTATGATCCAAGCATATGATTGCCATATTCTTCACCCAGACTCTGGGAAAAAATAAACAAAAATAAAAGTAAAGCAGTGTTCCACTTTAACCAATCCTGCACTTGAATATAAAAACAATTATTCCTAAATGAAGCGAACTGGAGGTAGGCAGTTTGGGATCTGAAGTAGGTGATTTGTAGCAAGGGATCTGAGGAATAAGAAAAACACTATTTGCAGATGAGTATGTGTGAGCTGGGGGAACTGACTACAAAGCTGACAGAATAATACAAGTCAAAAGTTAATGTTTTGTTGACAACTTTTATATGAGTTGGAGACAGACCAAATAGCTGACTCAAAGGCTGGCTCATTTCTAACGCCATATCACAATATCTTTTAAATGTTTTTGACCATTGAGATTGAGAGAACAAAATAGACTATAAAACACATTCTCTTGAGGATATTTTATGTGAAAAAAAATAATGAAATTTAATGTGGAAGAGATTTTAGAACTGATTGTTCTGAATGACATCCTCATTTTTTGGTGTAACCACTAATTAGTGAGGCTTTCATTGCTCTAAGAAATTAAGCAATAACAAAAGCAACAACAATAATGAATGGTTGATATTGAGGAAGCACTTACAATGTGCCAGGCAGTATGCTCAGCAGGTAATTTGAAGTATCTCAATTAATCTACCAAAAATTCTGTGCTAGAGGAACTTGAAACTTAGTGAGTTTAATATATAAATTTTCCAAGATTGCACAATAAATACAAATGAAGGTTATCTGACTCCAGAACTCACACTTCTAGCCACAGCTTTATATGGGCATAATCAGAATGGTCGCCAAGTGCCAGGCATGGTGTTGCATGTTTTACCTGCTGTGGAAGAAGTGAGGTCTCCCAGGCAATAGCAAACTGGGAAAATTTACTTTTTATTGGTGTGAACTCACACAAAACACAATTTATTGATGTCCCTTAGCTATGAAATGACAAATAGGAAGGATCCATCCATCTAGCTTTGAAATTCCACCCTTGTTAAGTGACTCATAAGCAGCCAGAAGTCATAGAATAATTGGGTTCTTGGGCAGAGGCTTCCAATTTGGTTTCTGAGTTCATGATGGAAAAACAGATTTCTGATCATCTAGACTCACAATATTTTGACCCTTGACTGATATGAGTTTCCCATAATAATCTGCATCTTTTGTTTCTATATCTGGTTATCATAAGGTAACCAGAATTTGGAGAAGATGTGAAATTAAGTGTTTTCACTTCACAGAGAAAATGATGGTGTGTTACTCTCCCTGACTGAGAGGTGAGAGCCTGGACTCAGGGCAAAGGAAATGTAATAAAAAGAAAGAAGCCTCAGTTCTCTACTCAACCACAGGAGCTGCTCCCAAATAGGCCCTGGCTAGACTTCACAGCTCTGAGATGGATGAATATAATTGTGGTTTAGTTAGAGCTTTCATTGGCAAAGACCTTAGTGAAAGTATAATGCTTTTTTAATGAAAAATTTTATATACATTTTTATATTATGTATTTCTTTTTTATAAGTTGAATACAATGAGTCTGAGGCCCAAAACACTGGTATCAAAATGGAACAAACAAAAAGTGAGCTGTTTATAAACATTTCCAAAGTCTAAAAAAGTCAAAGGAAGAACTTCTAATGACAGCAAAGTCAGCAAAGCCCTAGAAAGATGCTGTGCCGAATACTTCAAGGTGTTGTGGGTGTTTGGTTCATTAAAGACAGATCCAAGAAAGAGAAGCCAAAGTTTTAAGTAGTGATATACAAAAAGAACTCCAGGCTCCATTTAAAATATTTAATGTAACAATCCAATATTTGTTGAATCTCTACTACATACCAGGTAAGGAATAAAGCATTGGGACTACAGAAGGGAATATCTGACCCCCGTTTATAAAGAACTTATTTTCTAGCAGAAGTGAAAGAGTGGGCGCAAACATGATTGTCTCAACACAATCATACTATAATGATTGCAGCTAACATTTACTGGACGTTTACCACTGTGCCAAAACTGAAGCAGGGGTTTTACATGTGACTTATAAAGTCTCATTTGATGTGCCGTGCAAAATGCTACGGTAAAAATATCCACTGATTCTTCTGGGAGTACAGAAAAGGGAGGGTCACAGAAGCACGGGGTTTTACCATTTCAGTGAAAGAAAATATCTCTATTAAATTTTTTGCAGCCACTACTGTCTCCTTAGCCTAACTCTTTATTCAGAGTTATGGGATCGAAGGACTGTTGGGATACTCCTTTCCTTGCTCTTTGACTTAGTAGAAAACAAAGTATCTGCTTTCTCTGGCAATTTTGAATTCGGTGTATTTGAGAAGGGGCTTAGGAATGGGGAAAATGAGAGCAGGGTTCCCAGTCCTGTCCCTTTGGAATGGTGTGCCTAGAGCACTTAGTTAACCTCCCTAAGCTTCAAGTTCTACATCTGCAAAGGAATGGTAACAATAGACATGCCTTAATAGGGCTAAGGAATAAAATGAGCAAATGCATGTCAAGCACTTAGCTCAGGGCCACTGCACAATAAGCACTGAACAAATAGTGATGATTCTCAGTATGAGTCTGAGAATTGTTACTGACCCTCAAGGTAAATCACTTTGAGACTCCTGAGTAAGAATACTATGTAGCCTTCCATTTGCGACAACATGGATGGACCTAGGGGATAATATGCTAAGTGAAATAAGACAGAGAAAGTCAAATGCCATATAATTTCACTTACATGTGGAATCTAAAAAACAAATAAAACAAACTAATAAAAATCATAAACAACAACAAAACCCTGAACAAGCAAAACAGAAACAGACTCATGGATACAGAGAATAAACGGACCGTTGCCAGGAGGGAGAGGTTGGGGGACCCGGCGAAAAATAGGAAAGGACTAAGAGGTACAAATTGGCAGTTACAAAATATCCATGGGATGTAAAGTACAACACAGGAAATATAGTCAATAATATTGTAATAACTCTACAGTGGTGTCAGGTGGGTACTAGACTTATCAGGAAAATTACTTGGTAAATTACAGAAATATCTAACCATTGTGCTGTATACCTGAAACTAATATAATATGGAATGTCAGCTATAATTGAAAAATTTTTTAAATGTTTAAACGCCATCTGGAAACATATAATCTGATTTTCACTGGGAGAAAAGAATAACATTTTTTTTTCTTAAAACTTACAAGATTTCTATGTTTGGGCAACCATTCCCAGGGCCAGAAATTTTAATCTTCGAAACCGCTGATAACCTGGGGATGCTCTTGGAAAATCTGTGGCATAGACATCTGTATTTTGAGTAAACGGCCTCCAGAACACCTATAAACACAGAGTCAGTTATTTGAATTCCCTTAGCATATAATTCATAACTAGAACTTAACTACTGATCTTTCATACAATGCATTGAAGATTTAAAAATTTCAAGTTGATGCTTCTACCCTTGTTCCTTTACTGTGTGTATTGCTGCTTGTCTTGACTTAATAGCAAACATTTTCTACCAAAATCTAAAAAATAAAATGAGCCTTTTATGAACACAACACCTACTGAAATTTGTGTTAGAATTATATTGGCACTCAGGTAATTGTCTATACAGTAAAATTTGAAAGCCACCACAATGGGGGCTTACTATTCAGTTATAATTAATACAGTATAAAATCAACTGAACTTCACTACTAACACATAAAAATTGAGGGCAAAAACTCATCACAGAGTTTCTGAAGCAATAACAAGCTGTAATGGTTCCCTTTCTTATCATACTCAATGTCCCCCTTGTCGATCTCTGTTTGAGGAAATACTGTCAAAAATATTTGTTGTTTTTGTTTAATACATTGGTCCTCCATTTCAGTTGCAAGTAATTACCAAACAAAAACCAATAATAAAATTCAAGACTATTTTTATCCAACAACATGTTACTAGTACCAGACAAGTACCATAAGTAATCCGTCTCATGTATTTTAATAAATTCTTTCCTCTTTAACCCCAGTGTCCACCTACCAGCATGTTTGACATATATTTGCAAATATGAGGCCCATACTCAAATACGAGGTGTTTACAATTTAGTGGGGGAAACAAATTAGCAAAAACTAAAATACCACAGGATGTTTTACTTCACCTAAAGCCCAAACTGTGTAATGAAAACTGCTTTGCCAGGGGCAATGAGAAAGCTTTACAGAGGAGGAAAGGGATGAGGGATGAAAATAACATGTAATGCAAAATAATAATTGAAAAAATATTTCCTGCGCTGTAAGAACAAAAAATTGTCCTCTAAACCTGAGCTAAGTGTATCATTCTGCACATGCATCTGATTTGTTCAGTGTATAAAAAGTTACCACTTCAACTAGATATTTATCTATTTATACAAAGATCACCTTCCCATTTAGACTTGGAAGCCAGCTTCTTTACAAAAAGCTTGTACTTAAATACTCCTGTCATACCTATTAATGGTTCATGTCAGTGCTAACTGTATAGAATTGCATCAGATGTTCCCTGCAGGAAACCAGCCCATTGAGGTCAACAATTTTTAAACCCTATAAAGGGTTTGGTCAGAAGGGGTAGCACTGACTGGCAGACCAGAGAAGAGATACATGGAAAGAATTAGTTAGAGCAGAGCCGAATCTGAAAAGGCCAGGAATAGACAAACCATGTATGTGTCACATGGACATGAGATGTCCAGTATCCCTCCTTCTATAGCCAGCAATTTTAACAATATAAATGCTTCCAGCCCCAAGAGTTAAATCCTCAAGCACCTTACTTTCACAGCTCCAGGAGCAATGAGCTGTTTTTTTCCTCCTTAAGTCATATTTCCCCCATTTTCTAATTGAAATGCCTAAAGACAATTTCTGTTCAAAAGACAATGATATCATAAGCGAAAGTTCTCACCATGGGCTGGAGGAGAGAGGCTGCTGACAAGGAGCATGAGAAGCAGACAGCCAGAGATGAACTTCATCCTGCCTGAAGGTGGAGTTCAGACTTCAGCTCTAAACTGTGGGCTCTCAGCACAGAGACTCCTATTTATTTATTTAAACCAGCAAGGGCCCTCCCACTGCCCTCCTCTCCAGCAGGTCAGCTGTGTCAACAAAATTAAAAGCCCCCAAATAGTGCTGAGATTGCTTTTTTTTTTTACTTCTCTGGCAAATTTTTTGCATTTGCTTCAAAACACTATTAGTGTAATACAATTTTTCTTGAAAATGTAGACTGTAGGTGGCAAGGATGCGGCAGGAAATCGGGAGTAGAGAGAGGGGAAGAAGACACCGGTCGGGGGGCTCCACAGCGCTCTGTCTAGGAGCACTGCCAGGGCCTGTGGCTGTGCGAGCCTCTCTCCGTGAGGGGCCGGCAGGCTTTCTCAACGGCATTTGAATATATGCCCCATGAAATTAGGGACTCTGTTACGTACATCATTGTGTCCCCAACACCTGCAAGAGTCTAGCCTTTGGTAAGTGGCCTGTAATTACAGGGTCTGGCAGAAGTAACGCCTGCTTGAGTGTGGTTGGTGAGGTAATAATGCATGTGTAAAAATTCATAGTTTTAATTTGAACATTTCACCTAAAATGCCATATGGTGTGCTTGAGTGTGATATGGTTATGTTACAGATTACATGCTTATGATTTTGTAATAAAAGATTTTGTAATAAAAAGGGGGCAGCATTTGTGCTGGACCCTGTATATGCAGATCTAATGAATGTCTCCTTGTATACAAATCCCTGTGCTGACTAGGTTACTGTTTTTCTACCAGACTTTCCCCCTCCTTATTTTTCTCTCTGAAATATATGATTACTTATGTAATTTAACTATCATGGAAATACAGGAAGCATGCAGGTATGTGTCCCTTCACTGGTGTGCTGGTGTCTTAATGAAGGGAAGGAGGCAATCGCTTTAAGGGATTAAATCTTTCTGGCTCTGGGGTAAATTCATTGAGCTTCAGAACTAGGTTTCAGTAGAAGGTGTCATTAGAATTCCATCAGATGTTGAACCCATAGTACAGTTTGTTTAAGAAAGCATATGTGCAATTTGGTTTTTACCTGGCCAAATAAATCACAAGATCAATGAACCCACGGCCTCAACTCACTTGCTAGGAGCTTTTTGATTAAAAACAAGAAAAGTATGAAGACAATGGCTGGTGTATCCAAAAGTACCACGGGCTGCCCTGGGAGTACATAAGTGTGCATGTATGAAACCAGACCCACTGAACCACTGAAAATCAGACGTTTGGTCTTCCTGGTGGGGCTTTCTCAACAATTTGATTTTTGCTCCTCAATTAACATTGTGAATGTTTGGCATCCTAGGTGTTCCAGTTGTCACACAGGGGTTGTGGTAATGTCATACAACCCTCTTATAACAAACAGTCCTCTGGTTGGCCTGAAGGACTCACTGCAGAAACAGGGAACTCATCAGTCTTCCGGCAGCCCATTCTAATGTTTGGGAAGGTCTAGGTATTAAAAAGCTTATGTACACATGAAAGCTCCTTCTCTAATAGTTCACTTTGTCCTCATTCGCCCCTTATTACCACATGAAAACAAGTCTAAATGCTCTTTCATATGATAGCACTGCAAATGTTTGAAGACATGGTGTATCAATTGAGTCCCACAGAAAGCAGATGCTGAGAAGGGATGGTAGAGTAAAAGAAGTTCTTATTTTGTTTTGTTTTTCAGAATAATTTCTATAGTAGATAAAAGGGAGGAGGAGGCAGGAGTGTGCAAGGAGAGCCTCGGATTGCCAAGCTGATTGGATAAAGTATGGGAACTCAAGAGGGGACCTCCTGAGGAGAGACTATGTGTCAGAAGAGTCACACAATGGGCAGACACATCCAGGCCCTACTACCCCAGCCATGCTCAGCCACTGCCAGGGGCGTCTCAGAAACACCACGGTCTCTGGTAGAATTGCAGAGCACGTTCTGAGGTTGTTAACAGTTGGAGGCTGTCAGCTAACTGCACTTCTCACAGCTGGCCAGCATTATTTCTTTAAGGGAGATCTGAGCAGTGAACCTCTGCGGTTGTCACACAGGGTTATAAACGAGAGGTTAAGAGCACAAACTATGAAGTTCACCCAGTCAATGACTTTGCACAGGTCACATAATTTATACCTCATATTCACCAGTTTTCTCATGAGGGTGATGCTCATTTTACAGGGTTGTTTGGAGAATAACATTGTTTAGTTTATGTACAGTTCTCAGCAGAGTGTCTAGTACATAGAATAAATTCTGTAGATGCCTATCTGTCTGTCAATTGTCCATCCATCCATCCATTATCAATATCTTACTAACTTCCACTCTAAAACCCATATGTACACACTTCAAAAGTAAATATTCCTATGTTTTTTAACTTATAACACAATGTGGAACTCTCTCGCCATCTTTTTTTTTTCATCACTTATCTTCAAAAAGATAAACTACTACTTGGTTTATCTTTCTGAAACTTGTTGATCACTTTCATTGTTTCTCCTAAATCGCGACTGTCCTTTCTTCTGCCTCCCCATACCTTCTCTGACTCACAGATACACACACACTCTGACATGCACAGACATCTGAATACCTCACGATCTCAAGTGTGGTTTTGCCAGTGTAAAGTGGAGGAAGATGGCACCTTTTTTGCTTTAGGCACTATTGTTCTATTACTGCATCCCAAGGCTGACTAGCAGTATTCTGGTCACTTGCGTGGACTTGGCAGGCAACAACATTTTTGTTTCTTTTGAAAACGGTCAATTTCTGACTATGTTTCTTGCAATTTGCTCTTTTGCAATTTGGTCTTGGGACCCAAGTGTAAAAGTTTTACGTTTACCTCTATTATATATTTCCTTGTTAGAGCAAACATGAGTGGTGTTGACAATAACAAGAAGAACATAGGGACAAACCTACCTGAAAAATCTAGGAAATTCCACAGCTGTCTCTTGTTGAAATAGGGCTGCTGGGTTAAGGGGCTAATTCTAGAGCAATTCTAAAATTTGATTTTTTTTTGTCCCTTTAATGCCCAGAGTTCTGGATTTAGCTTTTACTGACCAAAGAACCTTATACCTGCCTGTCCCAAGATGGGGTAAGAAGTTCTCTGCTCTCTGCACAGCTCTCTGATAGCCAGATGATTCTAGCAGTTTCAAGTACGACTTCAGAATCTCATTTACATCAGAGGTATAAATTCAAATTTTGGAAAGCAAGAAGAAAAATATTTTGAGCTAATAGACTAAGGGCCCAAATGGAAACATTTTAATTTTAAAATAGCGTTTATAGATACATTTGCTTGCAAATATAAAAACATATAACTTGATTTATATCAAACCTGATTTTTATGATCTGATATATAAAAACAGGGAAATGAGAAAATTATAGTGGAGCCTTTTTCCGTGACTTTGGAATCAAACCAAATGTTCTCTCCAGACACCCCCCCCCCAAAAAAAAACTGAGTCATTTTGAAGCCCTTAGTACTCAAACGGTGGTCCATAGACTAGTACAATCAGCTTCCCCTGAGAGCTTGTTAAAGATGGAGTATATCAGGCCCTGCATTTTAACAAGATTCTCAGGTAATTTGAATGCACCTTAAAGTCTGAGAAGCACTAGTCTAGTTTAGCATGTGTTGCATGTATATTCAAATTGTCTTCAGAGAAAGGTTTGTACAAGTCATCTCCTCAGAGTAAGACACACATATTCCTTAGTGAAGGCCGACAGGACAAATGTGCTTGCTGACAGCTGAATGCAGAGCAATCACACAGAACAATGGGAAAATTCTCTCTCAAGATATGGGAAAGTGAAATGTCACTAAAATAGAGAGGTGGCACAAAGTATCTACCAATCTAGCTAGCCAATAAACATTGAACAGAGGGCCCATGGTAGAGTTTAAAATGACTAAAAGGATAAAAGTCTTATCATTTTAAATAGTCTATAATAAAATAAGAGACAAGACAAAGGCCTCTGACCAAATTGAGAACACTTCTTTCATTCCATTTGCAATGCAACTCCACTAAAAAACAGAAACTTACTCTATTCTGTTAACAAACATTTAACCTGCTGAAAATCTGACATTTATTTGCTTCCACATACCTTTCAGCATGACAGAAAGTATTATAACCTGGCAGGTAAGGGCTCAGGTTCCGAAATCAGACTATCTACGGGTTTATCCCTGCTCCTACACTCACTCGCTTTGTTATGTCTCCAAGGCTCAGTTCCTCCTGCGCCAATAAGACTTCTAACAGTAGTAGCTTCTTTAGGGAGCTACGCAGGGAACCCAAGAGTGCCAGAACAGTGTTCCACTCAGTGTCTGGGCAAAGAAGAAATACTCAATAAATGCAGAAACACAGAAATGTATTATTTTTATTGTTTTATTATTTTATTTTACTGTGGTAAGAACACTTAAAGTGAGATCTACCTTAAACTTTTAAGTGTACCGTACAGTAGGTACACTGTAGGTACAATGTTGTACAGCCCATCTTTAGACTTTATCATTCTTAAGAATCAATTGTAGCTTAGTTTGTCATTGAAGCTCCTGACATGAATTAAAATGTCACTTACGTTTCCATTGGACATATATTCCTTGAATTTAATCTTGTGGTCAAAATCTGTTCCTCTGATCAGCTGCATGCTATTTTTACCCACTTTCATCAAAGATGTTGGTCTGCCTTTTTTAAGACAATACCAGTGGAGGTTTGTATCAGTTGCATATGTACTGACGTTTTACAAAGGGGGTGTTTTGCCAACATTTCCATCTCTACTGAATTGCTTACAAAAGCCTGTTGTTTGCCAGGCAACAGTTTCACAATTCATACCTGTGGAAAAGGTGTTTTTCAAAGGTACTAAAATTTATATTTCAAGTTGTATTCAAGTTCAGCTGAAATATAGTGGATCCCAGACAAACCTAAAATGTGGCTAACTAAAGTTCCTTGTCTTCGTATTAGGATGGTGACTTGCAAGGACTGCTAGGTGGCAGCATTACTCACAGAAATGGCTTGCGTAAAGGGAAAGTCCTGTCCTCAGGTAAAGGTCCCGCAGTACTGACAGGAGAGCTGAGTTGCATATTATTTCAACATTCAAACCATTTATTTGATTTGGTT